AGCGGTCGGGCCCTCCACTTTCTGCCTGAGGCTAGGGTGGTCTGGGGTCCTGAGTGTCTCTGGCCGCAGGAGCACCCAAGCTCCCGAGCTCCAGGCCTGACCAGCCCCTCCCTCTCCATTGCCAGATCCCGGCCGTCCACGACTTTGGCCTGTTCATGTCTCTCATCGTGTCCTGCTGCTGGCTGGCCGTGCTGTTCACTATGCCTGCTGCCCTGGGTCTCTGGAGCCTTTATATGGCACCGCTGGAGAGCTCCTGCCAGACCAGGTGAGCAGAGCCATGTCCTCCCACTGAACACCCACAGCAGGCCTCCAGGGCCACTCGGCATGCCACTCCGTCTGCCGGGCACCTTTGTGGCTCCTTAGTAAGCACCTGTGTGTGCCTGGTACTATGCTAGGCAGAGGGCAGGGAAGGAAACAAGTCCTTCTGTCCAGTAAGTACCCCTTGTGGCCACCCATGATGTGCCAGGAAGCAGGTGAAACCCTTTCGTACAAGGTCTTATGGCCCCACTGCCCCCTAGGACCCTGGGAGCCAGTCCTCTAAGCCCATTTTACAGATCAGAAAACGAGGGCTCAGGGAGGTCAGGCACGTTTCTAAGGACCCTGGGAGCCAGTCCTCTAAGCCCATTCTACAGATCAGAAAACGAGGACTCAGAGAGGTCAGGCGCGTTTCTCCAGGTCACACTTAGTAGGTAGCAAAGCCAAGACTTTAGCAAAAGAATCCTTGACCCTAGAGCCGTGGCCTGAGTCCCCGGGCTATGTTCTCGGATTCTCATCTTGGTGGTGACTCAGTCAATCGATGCAGTGAGCCACGAGCACAGCAGAACTGGGCAGCTCGGTGCCACTGCTGGGGGACAGGGGTAAGTGTCTGGTGGGCCTGGTGGCCAGGGAAGATGAGAGGAAGAGGGACAGTTGGTGGCCACCTGGTGTCGCACTGAGGGTTGGTGGGGGGTTTCTGGGCTTGGGGGAGGACTTTCATAGGCCATGGTTACTGGTCTTTGGGGGTCCATAACAGTGACCACCTGACCATGGTGAGCCAAGGAGGGGTCAAAGGACAAGAGCCTGGCCAGGAGCTCAGACGTGGCTGTGGGATGGACTCCTCCTCTCTCCCACTCATACCCTCTCCCTTCAGGGCTGCCCTGAGCGGTACATCATACTTTTTTTTTTTTTTGGAGAGGTTTTCGCTATAGGGCCCGTGTGCTCACCAGACAGAGAGAGACATAGAGACAGAAAGCGAGAAATCACCCCCCAGGGGGGATGGTCACGCTGCAATCCCTTCTCCTCCATTCTCCTCTCGGGATCTTGGGCAGGCACGCACACGTGCCCGGCGTGAGTTTTAAGCCACTGGGTCCGGGACACGAACCGTGGTTGACTATGTGGGAGTCCAGCGACATAACCATTATGCTAACTGCTGGTTCCCCAGTTTGACTATTTTTATGGCAGGTTTATGACATAGAAACACTGTATCCTGGGGAAAGGGCACCTTTTGCTAGTCTCTATAGAGATGCCAAATGGGCCCCACTCCAGCCCTGATGCCCAGGCTGGGGGAACAGCCATCTTCCTGGGCAGCCAGCCCCTGGGTGCCGGCCTCGGCTCTTTACTCGGTGGCTGTGGGACCGTGGGCGGGTTCCTAACCTCTCCACAGTATGTCTGTTTCCTGTGGTGTCGCACAGGTGCAGTCGCTGTGCAGGAGTCCAAGGAGCAGGGAGTGAGGTACCATGTGGTCTCACTGCCCGCTGCCTAGCACGCAGAGCCCATGAGTCTCCAGTCCCCCACATTCCTCCTCCTCTGGCTCCTCCAAGTTCTGGTGTCAGAGACCCTGGGTCACATAGGAGTACCTCCCCGCTTTGGTCACCTTGATGCAATGGTCCCAGAATATCATCGTCCCCTCTCCCTGGGAAATGTCTGCCGTCACTACTCGTCTCCCCAGAGGAGGGCCGGCCCTGAGAGCCCTGGGGTAGAAGGTTCGGAAAGGAAATGAAGTGACTGGCCCCAGAAGTCTGTGTGCATATCCGACGTGAGGTGCATCACACGGCTACATGAGGGGCTGCATGGGCCTCCCCGGGTAACTGCCGTCCCCTGGACTCACCCCTCTCTCCCACTCCGTCCATAGCTGCCACCAGAAGTGTGGCCGCAGGAGCTCCCTGCACTTCCCTGGGGATGTGTTTGCTGCTCCTGAGCGGGCTGGGGGGAGCCCTGCCCAGGGCCCCATGCCCTACCTGGATGACGACATCCCCTTGCTGAACGTGGAGGAGGAGCCAGGTAAGAGCTGGGAGACCTGCCCTGCTGACCCTGGAGAGGTCCAGGGGCTGCCTCTGCCCAGGGAGTCACCCTTGACAAGACCAGCTGGTCTCAAGGCAGGGGCTGGGCCAGGTGGCCTGCAGGGATCCTCGTCCAGTATTTGGGCTTCCTGGGGAGGGCGTGACCAGGGTGGGCTTCGACTTGGCTTTGATGGGCCAATGCTTTCTTTGCAGTGCCACTCGAGCTGGGAGACGTGTCCCTGGTTTCTGTGCCCCCTGAGGGCCTGCAGCCAGTCCCCAACAGGGGCAGCCGGGGCCAGCTCATCGTTCAGCTGCAGGAGCTGCTGCACCACTGGGTCCTGTGGTCAGCCGTCAAGAGCCGCTGGGTGATTGTGGGTAAGTGTGCCCCGCACCTTGCTTCCTCTGTCTTACACCTCTACCCCAGGCCTGAGGCACAAGGCTGACCCCTGGGTGCCTGCTCCCTCCCGCAGATGAACCAGAGGTCAGGCACTTGGGCTGGAGTCTCCTTCTCTGGGGCTCACGTTTCTCCAGCGTAGAATGAAGCTGGTCCTGCAGTAGCTATTGCTTACTGAGCATCTACTGTGTGCCGGTCATCACTCGGCAGCAGAGGGAGCGCTTAGTGCTTGGGCTCTGGAGTTAGAGCAGCTTGGCTGAGTTTGGCTCTTGGCTCTACCACATACTGTCTGTGCTGACCTTGGCTGTGCTGGAGGCCCCACACTCACATCCCTGTTCCATCACTAGGCATAAGAATAGTTTCTAGGCACGCATGTGCAAGGAATGCAGTGGTGTAGTTATTGCGTGGCATAGGTGCAAGAGGTGCTCAATGAGCATTAAATGCAAGCATCATTACTATTATAATACTCTTGGACCAGATCTTAAAGTGTTAGATCAAGTGGCTGTGCCAGGGACCAGCAGTTAGCGTAATGGCTACATCACTGGTCTCCCATGTAGTTGACCACGGTACAAGTCCCGGACCCAGTGGCTTAAAACTCACACCATGCACGTGTGCGTGCATGCCCAGGATCTCGGGAGGAGAATGGAGGAGAAGGGACTGCAGCATGGCCATCCCCCCCGGGGCGGGGGGTGATTTCTCGCTTTCTGTCTCTCTGTCTCTCTCTGTCTGGTGAGCGCACGTGCTATATAGCAAAAACCTCTCCAAAAAAAAAGTGGGTGTGCCAGCTTGTTATAAACTATCCAGTGCTCGAAGACGGTGCTGGGTTCTTGTCCAGGTGTGTCAGCTTATAGCCTAATCAGATCCCAAGTGACACCACACATATCAGGTAACCCACCCCTGGGGGACCTAGCCCTAGTGAACTTCACCACAGCACAACATGGCTGACCTTTGTTGCTCCCCTGGGGCCTTCCTGCCCTGAGCATACCCCGCCTAACCCAGCACCCTCTCTTCACAGGGCTCTTTGTCTCCATCCTCATGCTGTCCCTGGTGTTCGCCAGCCGGCTCCGCCCTGCCAGCCGGGCCCCACTGCTCTTCCGGCCCGACACCAACATCCAGGTGCTACTGGACCTCAAGTACAACCTGAGTGCCGAGGGCATCTCCTGCATCACCTGCTCAGGTGAGGGTTTCCCGCTGGGGCGTTCCTCGTCCTGTTTGGTGTCCGGTTCTCAAGAGATGCCAGACCTGGTCCCTGTAGCCGCGTGATCTCAGGCAGTTCACCTCCTAGACTCAGTGGTCTTCTTAGACAAATACTTCCTGGGTGTTTGATGGGTGCTGGCCTGGGGAGGTACCATGGCAGAAGGACAGGCTTCCTGAGTGCAGGGACTCTGCATTCCAGAGCTAGGGGCAGGCTAGCCATCATAGTAGATCTGAGCTTCGGTACAGAAAGAATTTAATGCCTTAGAGCACGATATCATGGAAGGCTTCCTGGAGGAACAAATGCCTAAGCCAAGACTCAAAAGAATGGCAATGAGGTAGCCAGAGTGGGAGGGGAGAAAAAGCTAGGGGTCCAGGCAGAGTGCAGCACCAAAGGTAGGAAAAACCAGTGCCAGGTTTGAGAGAGGCGGGCTGGGCCAGGCAGGCAAGCTAACGTGAGACACCTGCATTTCATTCTGATTATCACTGGGAGGTTTCAGCAGAGAAGGGCTGTGATCCAGTCCCCCAGGTGCTGCATGGAAGTGGGCTGGAGAGCCAGGGTGCACACCGACCGGAAGCCACGTAGGAGGCTGGTGCAGGCACCTGGACAGAATCCAGTGGGGACTGGGGCCAGTGTGGTGGTGGTGGTGGTTGATCCTAGATGTTTATAGGAGGTGCTTGCCCCAGGACGTGGTGAAGGAGTCGGGGTTGGGATGAGCAAAGAGCGGTGTTAAAGATACCTGCTTGCCTTGGAAGTAGTCCATCTAAGCCCTCATTTTACGAGAGCCTGAGGTTAGGGTTCCAGGCCCATGAAGTCGACCCAAGGTCAGACAGCTTTGCTGGGGCAGTTAGAGACCAAATGAGAAGATGCTTGAGTGAGTACTCCCAGCTCATGGGAGCAGATCCGCCGACTGCTGTAATTGCCTTCATTTAATTAGGGCGGCGTTCAGATTAACCTGGCCTTCCCCCTGGTAATGGCATTAGCCAAGTGCATGATAATCGACTGTGCTCAGAGAGCCCCTTGTAAATCGGAGCCAGTCCCTGCCACACTCCTAGCTCCCCTTCCCTTGCCTGGGCATGAATTAAGCTCAATTATCACTAAGGCTACAAGGCCTCCTACCTGCTCTCAGGACCTGGCTCCCCTTTCACAGATGAAACTCCAGGATGGTCCCAGAGTTCCTGGACAACGTCTGGAGAAGAGCCAGGACCCCAGCCTCCTGTACCTCTTATCTCTCTGAACTACCTCTTAAAGGGACCCTTCCTATTTCAGCAAAGAGAGCTTTGGCCTTAGGAGCAGATGAAACTGGCTTCTAATGGGAGGGTCTATCTTTCATGTCCTTGTGCAGGTCACTAACTTCCTGGACCTCTACAATCTCTTCTGTCAAGTGGGGTTAATAATAACTTCCTAGGGCCCGGCAGGTGGTACAGTGGTTAAGGTGCTGGTCTTCCATGTGGCCGACCACTGTTTGAATCCCGAACCTGGCGGCTTCCTTTCTCACTTTCCCTTTTTCTCTCTCTCTCTGGTCAAATGAATAATAATAATAACAAATAAAATAAATCATTCTTTTAAATAATGATAATAATAACTTCCTAGGAGTTGGGAGGATTAAAACTTTTAAGGTATAAGGTTTCTCTCCTTTAGGAAGAGCATATATGCAAACTATTCATCTCACAATGGCTTAGTAACTGGGCAACAAAAAACTCAAACAACTCAGCAGGCTCTAAATAAATAAGATATAAAATAACCCAATTCAAAAATGACTAAAAAGCCTGAATAAACAGTAGTCAAAAGCAGACATACAAATGGCCAAGTAAAAATACTCAGCATCACTTATCAGAGAAATGCACATCAAAACCACTATGAGATAGCTTACCTCACTTAGAATGCCTGTTCTCAAAAAGGAAAGCAACGGTGCTAGTGAAGATGTGGTGAAAGGGGCAATCTTTTATACGGTTGGTGGGAATGTAAATTAGTACAGCCATAATGGAAACAGTATCCTCCGAAAAACAAAAATAGAACCACCACATGACCCAACAATCCCACTGCTAGGTATATATCCAAAAGGAAGGAAGCAGATGAAGTAAGGATACCTGCATGACAATGTTCACTGAATATCATTCCCAGCAGCCAAAATAGGGACTCAACCTAAGTGTCCATCTGCAGACAAAGGGGTGAAGAAAATGTGGCATATATACATTATAAATACTACTTGGCCATTAAGAGAACAAACTCCTGTCATTACATACAGAGCCTGGAAGACATTTTACTAAGTGAAAGCAGCCAGGCATGGAGAAATATCACTTGTTCTCCTTTATATGCAGAAATGGAAAAGAATAGCCCCTTAGAGGGGTTCAAGTCCTAGACCTGGTAGCTTGCTTTCTTTCTCACTTTCTCTCTCTCCCTCTCTCTCTCTCTCTCATCAAATTAAAATAAATGAATGAATAAATAAAATTTTAAAATTAAAAGAAGGAAAGGAAAGGAAAAGGAGAAGGTTCTTGCCACTGTCACAGAACCAGTTGGTGGTGACAAGAACAGTGGTACCCAGTTGGTTAAACCTCACAAAATGCCTCAGTATTATCCTACTGACGATGTGCCTCGAAAGCTGTTGAGCCACAGCAAAATCCTTTCAGTCAGCATGTGAGAAAGCTGCAAGCCAATGTCACTCTGGGGACCTCCTGATCATCCTCACTGGATGCCACAGAGGCAAAAGGGTGGTTTTCCTGAAGCAGCTAAGCAGTGACTGGACCTCCAGTCCTCAATCGAGTTCCACCGTGTAGAACAAACCAGAAATCTGTCATCGCCACCTCCATGAAAATTGATATTAGCAAAGTAAAAAATCCCAGAACACCTTACTGATGCTTACTTCAAGAAAAAGAAGCTACAGAAGCCCAGACAGCAGGAAGGTGAGCTCTTCAACACAGAGGAGGAGAAATACTAGATTACAGAGCAGCCCAAGGGTTACCAAAAAGCTGTGGACTCACAAATTTTACCAAAAATCAAAGCTGTTCCTCAGCTCCAGGCCTACCTGTGATGATTTGCATTCGCCCTTTCAGGTGGAGTTTATCCTCACAGATTGGTGTTCTTAGTTTCTTGCCAAGAACCTAATTAAATAACTGATATTAAAAAATTGCAGATAGAACAAATGCTGGTGTTATAAAATACAGTGGGAAGAATACGGTTGGTGACAACTTGCGGTGTATCTCAAATGAACTAAAAGGAAGAATTTGGAATGATCCCAACACAAGTCATGGCAAACGCTGAGATGAGAGTTTTGCTGAGGTCCTCATCGCCCATCACATTCTATCCCACAAATATGTACAATTATTTTATGTCAATCAAAGAAAAAACTAAGATGGCAGTGAAGATAAGAAATTAATATGATGAGAATTTGGCAACAAATCATTTGCATAATTAAGCAAATAAATCTAGTATGTAGACTAAAGGTAGAGCCATATTTAAATTTTAAAAATAGTAGCACTTATTTTAAAAAAACAATGTTTGGAGACCTTCTTTGGACCAGTTCAGCAGCATTTAGACTATATTTTAGACTTTTTTAATTGAAAAGAAATTTTATTTATTTTTTATTAAAAAACAAATACGAAGGGCCAGCAGGTGGAGTGGTGGTTGAGGTGCTAGATTACCACATGACTGGCCATGGTTCAAGTCCCAGATCTGGGAGCTTGCTTTCTCACTTTCCCTCTCTCTCTCTTTCTCTCTCTCTCTCTCTGGTAAGCACATGTGCCCTAAAGCAAATAAAAATAATAACAATAATGATAATAAGTTAAATAATTCTAAAAATAACTAACAGTAGAAGCCCAGCCACGGTGGCTCCTGGGAGCATGGCACTGTGCAATCCTGGAGGCCATCTGGAAAATGAGGGTGGACTTATACACATAGACCCATGAACCTGACTGGCTGGGAAGGGCTTGGGGGAAGATTATGCATGAGATGTGTTAAGGATGTTCCTCTTGCTCTTTCTCTCTCTTTCATGAAAGAATGAAATAAGTAAGCATATAAATATATACACTATGAAATGTAGGAAAACATGACCTCGAGAAAGAAAAAGTAAGGGGACCAGCAGTTAGCGTAATGGCTATGTCGCTGGACTCCCACGTAGTCGACCGCGGTTCGTGTCCCGGACCCAGTGGCTTAAAACACGCCAGGCGCGTGTGCGTGCGTGGCCAAGATCCCGAGAGGAGAATGGAGGAGAAGGGATTGTAGTGTGGCCATCCCCCCTGAGGGGTGATTTCTCACTTTCTGTCTCTCTGTCTCTCTCTGTCTGTCTGGTGAGCGCACGTGCCCTATAGCAAAAAAATAAAAATAAAAAAAATAAAAAACCTCTCCAAAAAACATGACCTCGAGAAAGAAAAAGTAAGGGGACCAGCAGTTAGCGTAATGGCTATGTCATTGGACTCCCATGTAGTTGACCATGGTTCGAGTCCGAGACCCAGTGGCTTAAATTCACGCCAGGAGCATATGCATGCATGCCCAAGACCCCAAGAGAAGAAGGGAGGAGAAGGGATTGAGGCATGGCCATCTACCCCGGGGTGGGGGACGATTTCTCACTTTCTGTCTGTCTCTCTCTGTCTTTCTGGTGAGCACATGTGCCCTATAGCAAAAACCTTTCAAAAAAAAGAGAGAGAAAGAAAAAGTAAGGAGAAATTTTGCCATTACTTCCAAAGTTATTGCTTATTTTTAATGAATAAAAATAGATATATTTCCCACAATCCCTTTTTCTAATTATTACATTAAATATTCTTTTTTTTTTGAGAGAGAGAGAGATTTTGCTATAGAGCATGTGTGCTCGCCAGAAAGACAGAGAGAGACAGAGAGACAGAATGTGAGAAATCACCCAGGGGTATGGCCATGCTGCAATCCCTTCTCCTCCATTCTCCTCTCAGGATCTTGGGCATGCACACACATGTGCCTGGCGTGAGTTTAAGCCACAAGGTCCAGGACTCGAATCACGGTTGACTACCTGG